TTTTTTGGTTTTTCTCCGGTACCGGGAACCAAACTCACGACCTTGCGCTTGCCAGGCAGGCGCTTTGCCGCTGAGCTAAATCCCCAGCCCCAAATAATACTATTTTTCCTTTAAGATGCATTTGGCATGCTAGTGAGTTTTTGATTATTTCTGTTTTTAAAGAATTCAAAGTGGCTGGGAATCGTGGCACACGCTGTAATCCCAGCACTTGGGAGGCTGAGGCAGGACGATCACTGCAAGTTCAAAACCAGCCTTGGCTACAAATTGAGCTCACGGCCAGCCTGAACTACAGAGTGAGACCCTGTCTCCAGAAGACCAAAAAAAAAAAAAAAAAAAAGAGAATTCCAAGTAACCTGGTAGAAAGTTAAAAAGAGGTTATCAAGAGAAAAGGATTAGGTGTCCCCAACCAAGAGCCCTGTATCATATAAGTGACCAAAAAATACAAATGGGAAATGTAGCATGTACTTGGGATATTCAAATCCCGTGAAGTTCCTAAAGAAACTATTTAATTGACATCATGGTAGTATATTTTAGCAAAAGCTACTGTCTTTTGACTTAGTACCTAACCATTGATGGTCTATAAATAAAAATCATAACAAGATCTGAACTGAAATTCAGATCTGAAAAAAATCTCACTATGTAGCCCAAGCTGGCTTCTAACTGCAGTCTTCCTGCCTCATCCAATTAATTAGCTGGAATTACAGTCTTGTGCCAAAATACCTAGCTGAAAGATTTCTAAAAGTATCACATTCGAAACAAAACAAAACAAAACAAAAAAACAAGCCTTGCCCATAATCTCAGCACACTAGGAGGCTGAGGAAGGAAAATCACAAGTCTGAGTCCGGTCTGGGAAATTTAGTGACTTAGCAAGACCTTGTCTCAAAGAAAAGGGGGTTAGGGTGCGGCTGGGGATGTAGCTCTGTGTGAAGGCCTTGGGATTGATCTCCAGCACAGCAAACAAACAAGCACAGAGTTCACTTGGAGCCTTTTCAACCACTAAGCCACCAGCGGCTGAGGAATCCAAGTGTACACGGCCCAAAACGCCTGGCAGGAGTTCGGGGAGTTGGAAGGGTGTGTAGAAAGCCAAGTGTCTTCTAGAAACACAAACTGATGGAGGGGCTCTCTGCACCAAATACGAGAAATCAAACCTCCGGTCTTCCACTTGGAAGGCCATTTTGCTAAAATGAAATAAATGGAATACATTAAGGTTGAAATATTACCCCACCTGGAAAATGAGATAAGGTATCAGGTGCCTCTAGTAAAAATATAAATAGGATATCAAATGGCATCCCAGATGGCCAGGCTGAAAAACGATGCTGAGCATGTAAGATTAAGTTTGCCACCAAGACTGCTCCTTGTAGATGGAGCAGCAACGTGTACGTGGATGTTTACAACAATACAGCCGATCACTGGCGTAAATATAGGAGAAATTGTCAAACACCTCATTAGAATCTTCCCCAACATCAAACACCTCACTAGAACAGAAACAAGGTCTCCTAAAACTAATCTTCCCATAACCACAGAGAAAGCAAATAGCTCCAGTTCTAGTAGGGACTGGCTGCCTGCCACTACCTGGAGAAAGTGAGGTCTGAGCTTACCAGAACAAGTGCTGTGACCAGTTAGTGATGTGTGCTTTGGCATTATGACAAGATGGGTAGTGGCTAGGAATGGTGGTGTGCCCCTGAAATCCCCGTACCCAAGAGGCTGAGGCAGGAGGACTGCCACAAGTTTGAGGCCCACTTGGGCTACATAGTGAGTTCAAGGACAGTTTGAAGTGAAACTTGTCTCAAAAAAAATGGGTAGTACCCATTCTACAGATCTGCATTTTTCCATATACCAGATCACACAATCTACGTAAGTAAACAAGGCATTAAAATCATCAAGTGGCTAATATAAATGTTTTAAATTTTTTCCTAGTGATCATTATTCACAGGAGATCAATTTATTCATGCAATAAACATGCAAATATATACACGTTAAGAGACATTGTGAGTTTTATATTTCTAACGCCAAGCCTTAGTGTGCACATATATTTGCTGCAGAAAGGAAAGGAGAGAGAAAGGAAAGGCGAAGGAAGTCCCCCAAACACTGCAGGTTCTTCAAATCTCAATAGTTACCATCTAATAAATTTATGCAGCACCTTTTCGTGACAATATCCTCTTTTACCATCAAATGTAATTTCCTTTCAAGGGATTGTAACACATCTGAAAAGAATAAACATAATTTAAGTGACTCATTGATGAGGTAGGATGTTGATAAGGCAATAGAAAAAGAGAAAGGGGAAGAAAGCAAAAATGGGGGAGGCATTTCCAATATAAAAGATGTGGCGTTTTCATACTTTTATACCAAACAAATCACTGAGGCTGTGATGCGACCCTTTCTGTTACCTATGTTGCTTAACCGAAAGACTAATTTTATGATCCTCTATAGTTATGGTCTACTGGAATTTTGATATTACATTTCCTTTCTAGTGTTTTCTTTACAGCAAATTCTTTACATTATCTATTTAGATTAGTATCTCATAGTGTTATGTTTCCCAACACATTTGCTCCTCAGGATATCAAGTGTGACTTTTTAAAAGTACATGGCTAAATAAATTTGTAATATCATAGACTAAACAGGTTTACCTCTTGATGCAAGATTTCAGAGGCTTTAAATATGTTAATATACTAAATGAGCCCTCACTAAATATAAATTTGTGTAATAACAAAATCTTTCTTTCATAGAGCTTCTGGTAAAAGACCACTTCATGGAAGCAACTTTGGGAAAATCAGTGTGAAAACCCTCTACCTCAAGATGCTTTGCTGAAACAGACAAACCCTCAGCCAATTTAACCAAAAAAGAACATGAGAGAAGACCCAAATCAACGCAATTGGGAATGAAAAAGGAGCTGGCATGCCTGTAATCCCAGCACTTGCGTGAGTTTGAGGCCAGCCTGCACTACATAGTGAGACCCTGTCTCAAAAACAAAAGAAAGCAGAAAGAGAAAAAGAGAATTACAATGGACACTGCTGAAATAAAAAATATTACCAATTACTTTGTAAACCTGTACACCAACAAATTAGATAATTCAGAAGAAACGGATGGACTCCTAGATACATGTGAATTATCAAAATTGAACTAAGGAGATTTTAAATCCCTGAATAATCCAATACAGGCAATAAAATTAAAGCAGTGATAAGTAATCCATCAACTAAGAAAAGCCCAGGTCTGGACTGCTAAATTCTACAAAAACTTCAGGGAACAACAATACTCCTCAAGTTTTTTAATAAAATTGAAAGGGAAGGAGTACTCCCAAAGTCATTCCTGGAAGCTATGAATACTGATTCCAAAACCAGACAAAAATCCAACCAAAAGAAGACTATAGATCAGTCTCTTTAATGAAAACAAATGCAAAAGTCCTCAACAAGTACTGGCAGACAAAATAGGAGGAATCATTAAGGTCATGCATCATGACCAAGCAGGCTTCATTCTAGAGATGCAAAGATGGTTCAGCAAACTCAAGTCAACATATGTAATAAACAGAAGGACAAAGATCCCATGATCATCTCAACAGATGCAGAAAAAGCCTTTGACAGAACTTAACATCATGTCATGATAAAAACACTGAAGAACATAGACATAGAAGGACCTTACCTCAATCTAAAAAAGCCATTTATGACAGACCTACTGCCAACATCATAGTAAGTGGGGAAAAACTGAAAGCTTTTCCTCTAAAATCAGGAACAAGACAAGGATGCTGACTATCACCACTCCTGTTCCACGCAGTACTGAAAACATTAGGAGCAATTAGGAAAGAAAAGAACAAAAGGGGTATCTGTGGGGAAGGAAGAAGTCAAATTATCATTATTTGCAGATGACATGGTTCTCTACATAGAAGACCCCAAAAAGCCTCCAAAAGACTCTGAATTAATAACCAAATTCAGTAATGTACCAAGACGTAAAAGCAATATTCAAAAAACGAGCATTCCGGTCTACTAGCAATGAATCCACGGAGAAAGAAATTAGGAGAAAGTACCGATCACAATAGTACCCAGAAAAATTAAACACGGAAGTTAGCCTTGCTAAAGAAGTGAAAAACCTCTACAACAAAGACTACCGCACTCTAAAAAAGGAAACTGAAGAGGACATCAGGAAATAAAAAGAGGTCCCCCTGTTCATAGATAGATGGAACCAATATAGTCAAAAGGGCCGTATCTCTAAAACTGATATACAGATTTAATGCAATCCCAATCAAAAACTCAACAGCTTCTTCACAGAACTAGAGAAAACAATGCTAAAATTCATATGAAACCAGAAGACACCCAGTAAAAAAGCAGTCCTGGGTAAAAACAGCAAAGTGGGAGGCAGCTTGAAGTTAATACAAAAAGCTACCGTGATAAAACCAGCATGATACTGTCACAAAAAGACATGGGGTCAATGGGACAGAAAAGAGGATGCAGAAACAACCTCAAGGACTTTCAATCATTTGATCTTTGAGAAAGAAGCCAAAAACACATATGAGGAAAGATATCCTCTTTAATAGATGGTGTTGAGAAAACTGGCTATCTATCTGCTGCAGATTGAATCTAGACCTGTATCTCTCACCATGTACTAAATTAAAATCTAAATGAATCAAAGGATTTAATGTTACAGACTTTTTTAATTTCGTCTTTAAATGAAGAATGAAAACACATTGACAAACAAACAGACATACACAAAACAACACCCAAACAATAGAAGCAATACAGAGTTTCAGACAAGGTGATGGGAAATTAATAATAGTTATTGTATTACATACTGTTATCTTCAAATTGGTTACTCAGTTAAACTAATATAGGCATGTAAGATTGATCAAACAATTAAACAATAACTGTTCCTTTCAATAAAGCAATAGAAGTTGGTAGTACGACTCTCTCAGTTATCCTATGGGTGTGTATGTATCTATTTCCCCCTTCTTTCTTTTAAAGGACTTAATGTTAAATCAGAAACATTTAACCTGCTGGAAGACAAGATAGATAAAACCCCAGAAATCATAGGTGTAGGCAAGGACTTTCTGAACAGAATATCATTTGCACAGGAAATAGTTCCAAGAATCAACAAATGGGATCATATTAAATTAAAAACCTGCACAACAAAAGAAACAACCAACAGAGGGAAAAGACAACCTACAGAATGGGGGAAAACATGCCAGCAATTCCTCAAACAGAGGACTCATACCTAGGTTATATGAAGAACTCAAAATAATTAGATCCCTCCAAAATAAAAGACCCAATCAAAAACTGGGCAAGTAAAATGAATAGACACCTCACAGAAGAAGAAATACAAATGGCCAATAAATACGTGAAGAAGTGCTCAACATTGCTGGCCAGTGGACCCCAGAAAGAACAGCCATCACCAAGAAATCAAATCACAAATGCAGGAGAGGCTCTGCGGGGAAAGGAACCCTTCCTTCTACGCTGTTGGTGGGAATGTAAATTAGTACAACCACTATGGAAACCAGTATGGAGAGTCCTCAAAACTCTAAAACTAGGGGCTGGCGATTTAGCTTAGCGGCACAGCGCCTGCCTGGCAAGTGCAAGGTCGTGAGTTCGATTCCTGGTACAGGAAGAAAAACAAAACCAAAAACAAACAGAAAAAAAATCTAAAACTAGAAATTGTGTTTGACCCAGCTATTTCCCTAGTAGGTGCATCTATCTGAAAGTTACATACTCCAGTGATACATGCCTACCTGTGTTTCTGGCAGCACAACCCAAGATAGCTAAACCTGGGAAGCAGCCCATATTCACTTGTTGGCAAGTGAATGGATAAAGAAAATGCAATATTTATATACAATGTATTATTACTCTGCTATAAAGCTAAACTTGAGTCATCTGTAGGAAAATGGATGCACCTTAAAACCAAAATGTTAAGTGAAATCAGACCTCCAAGCTCAAATATCAATTGATATTTCTTTTCTATGAGAAACGCAGAGTAAAAGTAAAGAGCAAAATGAAAGATCCATAGTAGGAAGCAGGTGCTAGATCACTCTCTGTGGGGAAAGGGACCCAGGGACCCAGGGAGGGATATGGGATGACAAATGGCCACAGCTCATCGTGTCAGACCCAGAAGGACTTTAAAAGCCTTTCTTTAAAAAACTATTATGAGAAGCTAATGTAATGTTATTAGGTGACAAAGTCCCTTCTTTATTTAAAA